ATAGATAGATAGATCGATTTACATAGACAGATAGATAGATAGATTTACATAGATAGATAGATAGATAGATTTACATAGATAGATAGATAGATAGATAGATACATTTACATAGATAGATAGATAGATAGACAGATAGATAGATAGATTTACATAGATAAATAGATAGATAGATAGATTTACGTAGATAGATTTACATAGATAGATAGATAGATAGATAGATTTACATAGATAGATAGATACATAGATAGATACATAAATTGATTTTTTACATTTCTATAGAAATATTTATAGAATTTATAGAAAACGTTACCTAAAAAGTGTTTACTCTTTTGAAAATTGCCACCTCTATAATCTGTCAGTGCGTTCTAATAATCTTATCCGTATGTTATTAGTTTATTCCTTACTGTACGTAATTCTTTCATTTGGTGGGATCTTCCCTTGCCCGACACTCTAGGACCAAAAGTATCTCACAGTTTGCGGCTCTTTTCGTTTTAAGGAACTGCTTTAGGGAACCGAATGACATGTGCACGCTCGGCATCTTAGCCACGTATACCTCAAGCGTGCTTTTTGGTAAAAGGTGATGAGATATCATCAGTAGTCGAAGCCATAGTTATCACGCTCCAGATACAACTTACGAATGTCTCATTCGAAGTCGACCTCCTTAAAACATAGAGATAACATGAAGTTAGAACACTAGCAAAAAAGCAATTTTAGCATCTTTATCAGCATATGTCACCGTCTCATACCTTGGCGAGAGGCTCCATCGTTGCGGCCAGAATTGGCAGCATCGTGTTGTACGTATCCCAGAACGTTTTCGCCAACATCAACTCATCAACCAACCTCTGCCACAGGTATACCATTCCATACAGGTCTGACAGTGACCAACAAAAACTTACTACGAATCTGAAAACTTACAAATAATTTAGCCGATACAAATGTCAATTTGTAATTTGCATCTGCAGACATAGTTTTTACATTCTGTTCTTACCAGTGTCTCTATCCAGATGTCATTTATATGGCGACACGTCCCGGTGAATGAATAGGTGTTCTCGCGTGTTTGTGTCTATATGTGTGTGTACCTGGACTAGAAAATATTGTTCATTTCCATAGCAATGAATCAAGCACATTCGTTGTTCTCTGTGGCATCACATCTGTGATAGCGAGTCAGCGTCAAATGGATGGTGAGTGACATCGGCGTTTCTTCTGGGTGCTCCCCGCCGTAGGCACTCAGGGGAAGGAGGGCTCTGCCTACGGCGTTTGCAGCTGGATGCGGTTTCCCTGTACTACTACGGCTACGACGATTGCTGCATTTTCAGAACGTGTTTCTATTTCTGCGTTTGCCTAATACTTATCCTCCTTCCGCCAGTACGTCCGCGATTGCTACTGCCAATCCCGATTTTGCCGACCATTAGCCTGTTGTCCGTTCGACATCCAGCGTCCCCGAAGCCACAGCGGCAACAGCTTGAGCAGCAACAGCAGGAACTGGCAGCGCCTTGCGTTCAACCGTTCGTCGAAGTTAAGCCACGGTTGTCGTGGCGGCTGGAGCGTTAGCAGCAACAGCAGTGGCAGACAGCGTCGTCTCAGGATCGCTCATACCTCGCTCAGAGCTCCGGCGTTTAGTTGTTCATCTCGTTTCGCCTTCTCCGCTATGACTGTGAGTGACTAACTACTTCGCTCAAATAGGGCTGGCTAGCTGCCGTGCCAAGTCTCCACAACCATAAATCAGTTCGGGCCCTGCCATCCGTGAAATGAATTTACTACTATCACGGGAGAAAACTGCTCTGACGACAACGAAGATCTGATGACGATGGCGGCAGCGGCGATGATGAACACTGCTTGTGTTGTTGCTACGGCTGCTGTGGGCGCTTCTGCTGGACAAGTTCGCGGTGGAGGTACGGTCAGCCTCAGTTTCAGCGGCGATGCGACTCTCGTTTGCTTGAAAGCGCTTGTTGATACGATCTGTGAGACTATGGGAGCACGGAGTGCGACGGTAGCGCCATCGCCACGGTAGCAAAATGACTGGGCGCCGTAAACTGGCAATCGCAAGCGTTAGGGCGATAACGCGAGTTGGGCTTAGACCGACCCTGGCTCGAGCAGCGGTGGCTGACTGCATTTGAAATGGTCACGTCGCCCGCTACAACTACCACAACAAAATGTAGTCGCCGCAATCAGTGTGAGGCGTTCTAAAAGATGCTGGCCGCCGAAAAAGCTGAGGCACACTGACGAATAAAAATGATAATAATGACGATTGTGATCCTCACGCTACGGCTGGATCTTATGCAGATGTTATAAGCTATACACATATATTTACATGCATAGGTGGCGGTATGAGTTCTATAGGTGAATACGGAACCTTTAAGTAGTTAGCTATATTTTCGCTAAAAATGCCTTTGGGTCTGGAGCGCGTGTCTACGACACATATATAATAATACTTTCCTGAATATGCTGAGAAGCAAGCTGCGCCAATTGGCTGTACAGTGCATCATGTTCCTTGAATCTGTAGCCAACCGTTTCCGCCATATCCCGAACGCTTCAAATTGCTCGCAAATAAAGCTAATAAAAGCATTCTTTGTTCAAAATATCTTTTTTTTACTAAATCGGAATAGCCAGCTTTGCTGTCTTACACATCACTGCTATTTTAATATTTCCACAGCACAACTACAGTGGCAAAACAAGTGCAAGTGCCAGCCATGTCCGTCTATAAATTGACGCGAAGGCCAACTAATCACAAGATAATTGCAGTCAATCGATAAATTACGTCTTATTAAGTAAGCCACGCAATAGAAAAATATTGTCCCGGAAAAATGCACGTTACTACCTTCAAACATACCTACGTATAAACTCATAGCGTGTGCAGTTTAGCGGGGTCACCCAAACCGCTTGAAAGGCATCATAGTACAACTACTACTATTACTAGACCTTATGATCCTAGGCATTCACGGGTCTCGGCAGCCAATTCATGTTCTAGCTCCGTGGTTAATTAACTCGTACTAGAGCTATGTGCATACCACACCTAGATTTTTACTGTTTCTCGGCTGTTTGTCTAGCCATTGAGTTATTCTGAGCCTTCGATGTAGCTGTTCGGGACCGCCTTTCGTCATCTTCTGTTGAAGCTACCTAATTTTCTTTTTACTTATTCGAAGGAGCGGAGGTCTCGCTCTCAATCGACAATTAATTGACTCCCTCCCCCACTTTCTTATCGCAGTATGAATTTTCGTTATCATGCTTCGCTCGGGTTCAACCGCTTCACGAGAATTGGTTGTCGCTGCTTGAGTCGAACTCTTGGTTTTCTGATGGAACAGAACGCGACGGAGCGGCGAAGAGCAGATTCTTTTCCAAGAAATCGAGTACGATCACCTATAACTAAAGGGGATTGAAAATTAGCTAGGGAAGGCAATATATCGCAGAGCAAATGAGCAAATTTTTCATGCAACGCCTACCGCCTCCACCATCGTCGTTGCCATTTTTAGGACTGCACCCAACAGGTGCGCCTGACTCGCTTGCCCCATGGCTAGAATCCGCTGGACTCGAGCTCAATGCGTGAAGCTAAGAAGATCTGTTAGGAACTTGTACGATGAGCGTATACGTATCATATACGAGAAATAACTTTATTCATTCATATAGTTCGAAACCACAATCAACTGTCGTGCTCGTTGACGATAAACCATACGCGAAACGCTGTAACCTGTAATGAATATAAATATATATAATAATGTTTATATTTAATCCCATTCGATGCAGATTTGAAATGTAACATTTGAGATTGGCAAAACGTCAATACGAGCACGCCGGCACCGTATGTAGAGAACAGTATCGGAATCCATAGATCTAATTATAGTATCTACTTAACACTCTCCAGCGCTATACGTCCGATCTCTTGGTGATCAATTATTAATGCATCATAGGTATAATGCACTGATATAATTTTCAAGGAACAAAAGCACAAATCAGCGTCAACGGACGACTAAGAGAAATGCTCAAACCAGGCTCAGATAAGGCACGCTATCACTATCAACAACACCTATCTGTGTTTCGACTTGATTTTCTGATAGCAAATGCAGTACGTTTCATCGTTCATTAGCGTTCGTGTTACTCACTTTCTATGCTGTCTCGGTTGAGTGGGCATGTATCATGCATATAAAACTCGATTTATAGAATGCCAATTTGAATATTTCCGCGCTTTTCCATGACCGGCCGCCTCGCGTGCGAAGTACAATAGTTATTAAATACCTGTATAGGCAGCTTGCAGGCTAGTTCCTACGAGTGCTTATCGACCTATGTCGTAATCAAAGGGCAGACTGCTATTGCAGTTTTAGATAGACGCTG